TCAACCGACACATCGAGATAGACAAACATTACGTCACACTCGCAAAACCCGTGATGATTGGTAGATAGATAGACGTACAAACAGCACACAGACGCACAGAAAGACGGTAATCCCATTATTTCATTTACGTTTGACGAGTCCTGGTTTGGATCGAAACGTTACAATAAACATTTTACAACTCAGTGTACGCTTCCATTCTCTCTTGAAATATATATACCTACTTTCTCACCGACCTATGGACCGGTTAAATATGTACCTACTATAATAAACGTAATGCTTAGTTTACTTTGTTTATTTACCTACTCAAACGGGATACTAAAGGGAGCAAACAGTAAGAATAGATAACAAGAACTATTTTTTTGTTTCACCTTACACTTTTCGATAAGTTCTGTATTTTAGTTGTTCGTTTTTTACCGGTTACGGGAGTTCAACCAGCAGACCGTATAGCATTCAAGACAATGGACCATATCTATCAGCGTCTTTATTTATCAACAATCATCATTCCTTGGGCACCAAATTAAAACAAAGCTAGTTTCTACATACATCTACGTCATGTCATTGTCTGATAGCCGCGACGTGTTTTCCAATCCTGTGCAGCGCGAGAAAAGAGAGCACGGAAAAGTAGACGTTGGGTAGGTATACGCTAAACGTGACCAAGCCATTGGAAGCGGTGTAAAACGAATGCTTTTTTAGAGAAAAACTATCCAGACCCAATGTTCCCACCACACACGGGTGATGCCTCGGAGTACAGATCGATTAGCATCCACAACACGGAGGGGTCAGGTATCGCAACCGTAAAACAGAACACTATGAACCGTGGCGGTTTATACGCTTCCCTTAATAGACAGTCGGATGTCATGGCAGTGTCGCAGGTTGGCGAAAGCTGCTCTAGCTCTCGCTATTTGTGATGAGATCTCTTCCCCCACCCCACCTCCAGCTGTGATTAAGCTCTCTACCATTTTCATCTGATCGCCAAAAAGAATAAGCGTAGGCACAGGATCCTGACAGTCTTCAGCAAGCTCTTTACAATTGTATGGCGCAAAACACATCGTACCTGGATACCTCGATCGCCAAGTGGTTAAACGCATGTTGGATTGTCTGTGTCTTGCCACCCAACAAGGCGATGTCACCGGCATATTCTAAGTCAAAAACTCTGTCCCTGGGAGAAGTTCCACCCCTCGTTTGCTAAACTGGACAAAGCTTCCTGCAGAACATCCTCCATGGCGAAATTGAAAAGGAAAGGGGATATGGGGCAGCCTTGTCGAACTCCACTAGAGACGGCGAAGGGTGGTGAAAGCTGGTCATAGGTCCTAACCCGACCTGAGGTATGACGATACAACTCTTTGAGGATCGACACACTTCTCTGGTACTCCATTACTCAACAAACAGCTCCGTAGTGCGGTTTTATCAACAGAATCGAAGGCCGCACGGATGTCTAAGAACACAGTAATCGTTGGTCTTTGATAAGCATGACGGTGCTCTAGCAGCTGTCGTAAGGTGACGATTTGATCGATGCAGCCACGACCAGCGCGAAATCCAGCCTGCTCTTCACGCGTAGTGTACAATCGGCGGATAATGATGGACGCCAACAGCTTTGACGCTATTGGGATAAGGCTTATACCCCTATGATTGGCGCAGTCATTGCGCGGGCCCTTTTTGAAGATGGAGACAACAATCGATTCCCCCCCACCACCACGAGGAGGGGACCGCTCAGTGTTCCACACTTTAGAGAACAGAACCTGCAGTTCTTTAACAAGCTTTATTCCACCATCTATAAATAGAGGTAAGGGAAGGCCATCAGAGTCCGGCGCACTGTGATGTCCCAAGGCTTGGATTTCCCTTAAGATTCCGGCCTCAGGTGGGTCTGTTGATGCAGACCATGAAACGTGTGGCGAAGTAGCTGACGCTGCTGGCCAGCTAAACTGTGTCCCGACTGGCGTTCGAGACGTCGCTGTCGATTGTGAATAAGTGAGCCGTCAGCCATTGGTGGTTTAATTCGTCATCTCTTCCTTCGTTACACACATATGTGTGATGACGGGGTGGACCACGTAATCGCGAAGGCCTGCTGTTCAGTCATGGAAACGGACAACCCAAGCCACGGGACACAGATCGGCGAACCAGACAACAAAACACCGGTGTTAAGTTTTTTTTCAAGTGAACACTGTCACAAAGAACAAACCAAAAGTGAGTGCAAATTATTAACTGATAAAATAAAATGCAATAGTTGTTCAGCAGTTGAGACCAGTATCTTTCTAAGCCATTCTTTCATTCCAAGATTGCTATTGATTACTAGCTAAATCATGTTCTCCTGACCTTTAGAGTTCACCTCAGTCAATGTTTAATATGTTATCCTGGAATGCATCGCATACGGTGGGCTACTCTTATAGAAATCTTGGCCTGGTGGACCTCATAGCCACAGAATGACTGTTTGTGGGAACTGAATAATCAAGTCTTGGGACTAACACTGGAGAACTGCGAAATCTCCGGAGGAATAGATGCGATACAAAAATGGGTGACATAGAACTTGTTTATGACAAACTGGGATTGGAACCCACGAACAGTTTCATTATGAAAACTCTTGCTACGGATCTCACTGAAATCCGTAGACAACATGGGAAGTTGGCGAAGAAAAACCGCGATCAACGTATTGCCTGATTTAAACATATGGGCATCGAAAGCATGAAATGACAAACGTACTATGAACGGAAACAGTTCAAAGATATCAATGTGGTGTGGTGGTGCGAACCCCATCACCTAGATCACAAAGGAATAACGATTCATGAGCAAATAACTGGAAAGCATTTATGTACAAATCTCGAGGTGATAACTGAAATTAGTCGTCCTTTTCGTACGCTATGGTCACTTTTCGTTTCTTAGAAGGTCCAGCTAAAACAAGATTTGCTTCCCGTTCCTCTGCATCTTCTTCCTCCACCTCAACAAGATCCTCGATATCTTCAACTTCAGAATCTGAAGTGTAAACAACATCTTCATCAACCTCTTCCTCAGCCTCTGACTCTTCTTCGAATTCCTCATCCACTTCTTCCATTTCCTCAGTTTCTAAGGCTTTCTCGAATGCAGACTGATCAATATTATAGATTTCTTTCGACGAAGTTGAAGCACGCAACCGTTCGAGCAGTTCTTGTTCTACAGTTCGTTCTACCCGAGCAACGCGCAATGCTTTCTCTTCTCGACGAAGCTCGCGGCGTTCTATCTTTCGATTAACGGGTTCCAGTTTTTTCTGTCTGGCTAATGCAAGGCGACGCATGTTTTTCAGATTGTCGCGAATGCGGAAAAATCTCTGTTTCACTCTACTGATTATCCAATTGTCCCAATAGAGCATGTGTTTCTTGATTTGTTCTAATGCTTGTTTCTTGTTTCGGGATAGTTTGATCCTCTCCCATTGCTTCCCAGGATATGGAACGCGTTCAGGCTCCTTTAGGAAGAGAAAGATGATACCATCTTTCTCTTTTACTGTTGCATACTGAGAGTTGGCGAGGGGACAGGAGTGGCGATTACACAAACCGGTCACATTGTTTTCGTTACGACAGAAGTTCCCCGTTTTGGTTTTAACCATAAACGAACAAAATGATCGGTTTATAATCTGCCAGATCACATCGTCATTATTCATTGTTCCGGAAGATCTGAAAATAAGCAATCGGGAAAATGTCATATTAGCGATTGTCCTAAGGACGTTAAAAATCCACCTGATCATCATCCAGCGAAATATCGTGAGGCTAACTTCATTGATAGCTGCCAAGCTCACAACGTTCAAAAAGAATATCAAAAAATGGATAGAAATTGGGCCGAATGGAAGAGAGGCAAAGAGAGTTAACCCCTATGGCCAAGACACAGAGTAAACAACCCAATTTTCCGATCCTAAAACTAGGCACAATCGCTTAAACATTCTCAATTACCTAGTATACATTTTGAGTTTGAGTGATCAGTCAAGTTCGCTTCACTGTACTCCGCTCTGCGATACTGATGACAACCAAACTCAGCATACTTTCCTGTTAAAACAATCTGATCTGTTAAGGCCAATACTGCCATAAACTATTCGGTATCTCCGTCCAACCATGTGCATTCTTCCGGATCCCAACCTGGAAGATGAGGAATATCTGCTTTACCTAATAGCCTTACACTTTTCGTCATGCCTCGTTTTCGCTACCTTTCAAATGACTTCCTCCAACTGGAACTCACAACCGCAAAGCAGGCGCGTGCGACAGAAGGCATCCGAGCATCCGCCACACGTGTCCAAACCAGCCAAGCCGACTAGTCTCAATTTATTGTGATAACGAGATCCCACCCGAATCCGTACCAAATACACGACGATTTCTCTCAAAGTTCCTTATATGAGCGCTCCATCCAACCCGAACCAAACTACGTAAACATCAACAGTTGAAGGTGAATGTCTTCCACGCGCATAATGAGTTTCGCAAACGTAAAGCAGAATTGACCGCGCAATGACGCAGTATACGCGTTAATTTACTTTCAAGAAAACATTGCATCGGGGCCAAGGATATTCCAGTCATGCGTACACTGCTCATATCTTGGGTGGTTACTTTCTTCACTCCAAAACCGTCAGTTGTGACGCAACTACCTAGGAAGGAGAGTTTCGGTTTTCGTTTTTACAACCATTAACCATGCAGTCTCATGCACCGGCTTCAGTTGCTGACTTTTGGCCGCCAAATTGTCAAGTCAACTATTTGCTTGATGCACCCCGAAAGGTGGATATTCAGCAGCCATATAGTCAGCCAACAATGACCTAGCAAAATTATTTCAGAATTGTCATAAGCAAGAAAATAAAATGACTAATGATAAGAGTGAGATCAGTTCCGAAGCCATGCGCTCTGGGTAAGGCACCACAGAAGACCGCTAGGCGGTCGTACGGGCAAATATGCAGTTACAGCGGGACCGGGTGGAATAAGAGGACACAAACTGGATAAGATCTTGGTGTACAGATGTAAACGGTTGTTTATGATTTTTGTGGATAACGAAAAGTATGACTGTATGTTGTGAAATGATGAAGTGACAGAGAGTTACACGGGAAATCCCGCTACTTCTTGGTAAATGTGATAATAATCTAGAAAGCAATTTAAAGTCCTTCTTGAGCACCCCTGGAGAGATTACAGGGGACCCATACATCCACAGGGGCAAAATACAAGCAAAAAGAAAATGTTTAATCAAGAAGCGAGGGACGGATAGTGCATTCAGGCGTAGAACATAAAATGATTATTTCCTGACCTCTCCCAATACAGAAATAATTTGGTCAGACCAGCACAAATTTCGGCTGATTAACACATCAAGATAACTGACATTTATGGGTTGAATAACTGTATCATCGGGTATGTTTAACAAGAGACAGGATTCCAGATTAGCACAACGATCCTCCTTGTGGAATGAAAATAGCATGTCTACGCATTTAGAGGGATTGAGAGTTGTGCAGTGGACCACTCAACAAGGTTAGTAGGGCCAAGTTGGATGGTGGCAGATGCATCAGGTTGGGCGATTCCGACCATAACATCATCCGCTAATTTAATGAGCAGGGAATTTTGAAAGTAGGCATGGATGAAATACAAGAGAAAAAGAAAAGCAGGGACCGAATGGCACCCTGCAGTACGCAGTGTAGAAATTAGGAAGAAGAGGGATGACCAAAGTAACTCGTGAACTGTGATTGGTTTGTGAAACAGCTTGTTAGTACCGAATTTATGGCATGCGATATCCCATTGGAAGATGAAATATTCAACAACTGTCAAAACAATTAAAGGCGTCGCGGTAATACAAGAAACATATTCTGACAGCTTTCTTGTTTCCATTAAGTGCTGATAGTTCATAATTAACCAGAGAAGCGGCTGGGCATGCGCAATACGTGCCCTAGCCAGCGAAGCCTAGAAATCTGAATTCGGTATGCTAACAGGTTTATATCTGATAGACTCCCAAACACACCACGGCTTACCTCCACGTTACTAACCCGTCCGCTCCATCCAACAAGGGCTAAACTGCGTAAACACCAATAATCGAAAACTGCTAGTCGACGGATATCTTCTACTCCCAAATTCAAGGTCTCACAACCATAAAGCAGGCCTGAACGAACGGTGGCACAATATACACGACCTTTCAATTTCTGTGAAACGTCGCGCCTACGCCAAAGGTGTTTCAATCCTGCGTACGCTGCTCGAGCCTTGGAAATGCGGGCGGTCATTTCCTTTGCTGCGCTACCGTCATTGGTCACGCAACTGCCTAAGTAGGAAAAAAATCCACCATAAACAAATCCTGACCGTTTAGTTTCAGAGCAGGAGTAGACGAAACCCAGTCCTGCAGCATCACTTTGCACTTTGAAGGTGTAAAGCACATACTGAATGTGGCTACTGCACTTGTTAGTCTATCAAGTGCACTTTGTGCGTCCTCCATGCATTCGAACAGACAGACGATGTCATTGGCGTACTCTAAATCGCACAGCTTTTCCCCAGCTGTCCATTCAATACCTAACTTTTGGAGTCTCCTTAGTTCGCTCTCCAGTATTTCGTCTACGACGAAATTGAACAGGAACGGCGAAACAGGGCACCCTTGACGAACGCCGCTGCTGGTGACGAACAGCCTACTTAGTTCGTTGTAGACCCTTACACGACCGGAAGTATATGAGTACAGTGACCTCAGTAGGTTAACGTATTTCTGGGGCACTCCTTTTCGAAGAAGGGAGCCCATTAGGGCTTCGCGGTCATCTGAGTCGAAGGCTCCCTTTAGATCAAGGAANAGCTCAAGGATCTGACGCAACGTAAAAATCTGATCAATACATCCACGGCCGGGCCAGAATCCGGCTTGCTGTTCACGGTTGGTCTCTTTTAAAGGCGTCAGACGTCGAAGTATAACCGAAACTAGCACTTTGATGACGATGAGGATCAAACTTATCCCGCGGCGGTTTTCGTTACCTTTATGGGATTCTTTCTTGAAATAGGGAATGATCAGTGATTCGCCCCAAGATGAAGGAACGTGCTGCGCAGTAGGGTAGTAGAGGTTACGAGGTTGTCACCTCCCATCTTGAAAAGAGTGGGAGGGTCCTGCTACCTTTCCTAGCTTCAGAGCTTGGATGCAAGACCGAACTTCTGATTCCGTTGGACGATCGCATGACACTGCCCACGGAGCTTCAGTCGGGGATGAAGCGACCTGATTAGCACTAGGCAGCATCCCCGTGTTGCTAGTTCTTTTAATGAATGTTCTATTTATTGTTGTTCGAGACACGATTGATGGTTTTTCAGGTCTCCCGGCAGATTTTTCTGTGCAGGAGTGTGCGAGTGTAGATGTCGTTCAGTCAACGTAGCTTACCTTGATAGCAAAATTTAAGCGTTTCACTCTTTGAAGAGCAGGAGGAAGATTTGAATACTGGAGCAAAGTCGAAATAACGATAGAGAATTCATATACAGTGGGGTTGAAAGAGTAATAAGTAGACGAACACAGCCAAGACAGCAACAAAAGCCAGCGCACGAAAGTGCCTGGTTAATGGTTGTACAAACTGAACTGATCTGAGACGCATGAGTGCCACTATTGGCAACACTCGGTTATACCACTCAGGGGCTCTAACCACCGGTTACCACGATCTCAGAGTCCCCGTCCACAGAGCCCGATGGAAACTGAGACCTAATCCCCCAGATATTTTCCCATTCTCGTGTTACGCCTTAGTTCATCAGCCCTCCTGCTGCTTGCCTCAGCAAACATCGCGCGCAGTGACAACCTATTTGTTGACATACCCAACATTATTGCATTCAAAAACTAAATAATTCCATACTGCATCGATCCTCAAATAGGATAATCAGGACCGCACTGCTCACTGTATCGATTGAGGTGGGCAGTGATAAGTGGGCCACTGCGCTGACATCCACAATTTGTTTTGTAGTGTACCACACTCTCTGTCTATTGCATATCGCTGTATTTATAAATTTTTTTATACGTTTCAGCCTTTATGCCAGAGTTGTTAGACCAATAAAGCCTTACATCTCCGGGTTCTCAGTCTTCTCACTCTATCGAGCAACTACCGACTATTGTCATCCCGTATTCAGAATATAACATTGCTTACATGTGTTTTCTATACCCAATCCTCTCCGTTCACCTCCTATTCCGACCCATAACGTTCCTCCAGACAGCTTGTTTGGCACTCGCCAAAGTTCGTTGCCAAATAGCTCTGTAAGTAGTTTGCCATTGAATAATTTGCATATTCACATTTTGATTCAGTTACTTGTGAGCAGTGTATGTGGGATGATTGATATTAATTGATTTGACTGACTGTCCTTCGAACTTTACCTTTACTCACAATCTTCAGTTCATTGATTCAACCATACACTCGGAAGCACTAGACTCGAGTTTCGCTCGTATTACAGCATATTCTGAAGCCCTATCAACCACTAATCAAGGCCTTTAACTTGATGACTCTGATTCAACCATCATGACGAGACTGCATCTT